GAGGGGAGTGGTCACGCTGCTGGGGGTTCGGAGCGGCCTCTTTGTGGCAATGAACCGACGAGGGAAGCTCTACGGCTCTGTGAGTGTCTGGCTTCTCCCTACCCAAACATGTTCAAACCAAACCCACACCAACCTGTCCAAGGGGCCTTCAAACCCTCGGACAGTATCAATACAAATGAATAATATAATATTCATATATAATAACACATGATTTATACACACTTGTGGTGGATGAATGGAAGTGTGGCTGCCAATCTGCCGATCACCACCACACCACTCACGCGCACACCACATTCATACTAGGCACTACTATGTAGTTGCAGTGTCTTGCCAAAGGATACAACAACAAGTTCTACTAGTTCCACTGCTGCCCCATTGTGGCACCTGGTATTCCCAGTGTCTCCCCACATGCTAACCAGTCCTCAGATCAGACGAGACTGGTCATTGACAAGCACATGTGCATGTAATGAATGACTACGGCTTTAGTGACGTCTGAACCAAAGTTAAACAGCTGAATCATCTCTTTACAGGTTCTACACTACTCTATCAAAATGGTCTTTAATTAACAGGGTCCCTGCTGTGGTGTGGTCAGGCTGTGGCTGATCAGAAAGTAACTCTACCAAATGTGTCCAAGTAGCAGAGTCACAGTTAGAGTTTGGGTTCTAACCTGACCACCGGATAAAGTGTACTTATAAGGTTAAATTAGAGCTATAGGGTTCAAATAGAACTACACGGTTAATCTACATGTACAGGGTTAATCAAGACTCATGGAATGAACCTGGTGTATATGTACAGATCTGACCTTGCACATGTGCGTATTGTTCTGCGCACATGTATTGTTCTCACATACACTTCAGGACCAGAGACACATGCATCTGAGAGATTACAGCTGTTTAAAATACAGTAAACATCATTCTTCATTCTACAATCCATTTTTGAATTTGACCCACTAAAGCCATTCTCATATGTGCACACATTGTTTGATAGCTATCACACTAAACAATTGTAACCCAAAATTAACCCCCAAATCCCTCAAACGTCTTTTGTCCCGCCTCTATGACCACTGACTGTTGCCTGTGCCTGTTCTCTTGCAGTTGTATTTCAACAATGAGTGCAAGTTCCGGGAGAATCTCTTGGCCAACAACTATAACGCCTACGAGTCGGTGGCGTACCCGCGCATGTTCATCGGCCTGAGCAAGAACGGCAAAACAAAACGCGGAAGCCGAGTGTCCCCCGCCATGACGGTGACACATTTCTTGCCAAGAATCTAGTGCCTCCGAAATAGACTTCACCTCGATATGGAGAGGGAGGGAGGAAGGGGAACTCCCAGTCAAGATGCACTTTCACTCCAAGCTATATGCAAGCTTTTGTGATGTGTACAGCCTTTTCTATTGTAATTTATGCTCATCTACAGGTTTTTGTATATTTTTTAACAAGTCTTAGTAGAGATTTAGGGGGATCAGAGATGTATTGTTTTTTGCTCTTATTTATGGGAGAATTGCTGCTATAGAACTTGTCTCAGAGCTGGGAGAGGAGTGTGGTGGACTGAACGACAGGGTAGGGTCTTTTATATCAGTGCACTGCAAAAATCAAAAATCTACATGAGCCAAATTAAGTTGGATCCAGAATCTTTTAATATTAGATTTTTGGGTTTTTTTTCCTATTTTTTTTTTTCAAATTAATTTAACTGCACAAAGAGTATGTTTCTATTATTATGATAAAAACATGTATACATTGTATTATTATTATTATTATTTTTTTTATTATTATTATTATTATTATTATTAGTAGTAGTAGTAGTAGTAGTAGTAGTAGTAGTAGTAGTAGTAGTATTGCAAGTTTTGTTTTGTTTTGTTTTGAATTAGTGAATTCAAACATAATAATAATTCAAAAATAGTGAAACCTGTCCAAAATAGTCCAAACATCTAAATCAACTAAAGAAATCCTAAATAATGAATTCAAGTCCAACTGGCTCATGTGGATGTTGTTTTTTTCAGCGCAGTGGAAAAGTGACGAGCCGCTGTGATTGGTGGGAGACGTGGAGCGATTGGCCAATGGCGCAGTGCTTTTGTGGAGTCTAGGATCGGCTCGCTCCTAGAGAGAGGAGGGGGCTGGAGAAGACCCCATACTCCATGCTGTTTATAGCTCTGTGCCCTGAACTTTGAACTTTTGGTTCGTCACTGTCAGAGGAATCCACCGCCATCCACTCACGTTATATAAGACGCGCACAGTTTAAAGGCAAGGTCGCCGCCAGCTTTTACTGTACACAGACACATTTTACTGTTGACCAGAACAGAACCGGCCAGCGGACATTGTTTTGAAAAATTGCTCAATGCACTTTGCCTAATATCGTATATTATATATTTTTTACCAGTTACAATGTTCTTACCAAAACCTACAGGCTTAAAGGTCCTATATTATAGTCCAAATTGACTCTTGTGAGCTTTAAGTCATCTTATAATGTCACCTCCTCAGTAACAACCGGGAGCTATGTTTTGTTTCATTCACACATGTTTGAGTAACTTTTTTATTATTAGTCTGTCTATATCTCCAAAGCTTAAAATCCTCTGTTCCACCTTGTGATGTCATGGTAGTTTTCAAGTGAACAGCTTCTTTTACCTTTTGTTCAGTAGACATTGGCAGTTCAAGGGGAGAAATTATTCAGTTGATTGTAGTGACGGTGTATTGATTTTCAAAACACTGTGGGATATGTATTACCACATGACATCACAAGGTGGAACAGAGTGTTTTGTTTTTGTTTTGTTTTTTTGAAAGAAGAACTCAGATGAAATATGCAGGTTTGTGTGTTAAACAAGTGTGAATGAAACAATACTCAACTCCAGGTCTGTTTGAGATGAGAAAATAACACTTTAACATAGATTAAAAAAATAAATAAAATAGTGTAATATGGGCTCTTTAATTGACAACAAAGCTGGATGTGACCACTTCTTCAACGTGCTACTACGTTAACAATTATTCCATTTATAATCATAGAAATGAACTTACAGACCAAATTAATGTCATTTGAATGCTCTTCTTTTAAGGTTGTGGTTAGGTTTGAGGTATGTAAGTCCGTTTCAGTATTCTAAGCGTACAGAAGCGTTTAGGACTGCCTGCTTCCTATGGACTCTGCATTACTGTACTGTGGTTAGCTTAGGGGCCATGTTGTCCTAGTTGCGCCTTGTCACGTTCCAGCTATCTTTACCCAGCGATTTACTTTTAGAAAGGAGAATCATGGGAGAAATATCCACAGACAGCTGCTGGACTGACTGGACTATATGCTAGGGCCCGTAACCCTATATTTTTCTTTATATATTTTGTAAATATAACCTCTATGTAACTCAAGGTGCTGGCATTTCTATCGGGGTAGGCCACTTTTAACCTGACAGGGCAGAAGATAGGACACACTGAAGGAACACTCAGATAGATTCAACCATTACAGTGGGAGAGCTGTCGTTCTGTTGTGTTGACCCCATTGTTCAGGCCCAACATTCCAAACCTGTAGACCTATAGACCTATAGACTTGTAAACCTGTAGACGTGTAGTCCTGTAGATCTGTAGACCCTATAGACCTGTAGACCCTATAGACCTATAGATCTGTATACTTGCAGGCCTTCGATTGTGTGTTGTGCCTGTGAGCCATGTTCAGATGAACGCTGCTCCACGCTGCATGCACAAGCTGGATTCAGTTGCAAAGGGCTCAAGCAAATCTCATGCAAACTGTGAGAGGAGGCTCCAGGCCAGGCTCCTCCAGACACGACCTTCCATTGCTCCTCCAGACATACCCATACAGACAGGATTAAGTTAACACAGACACACTGATCCCAAAGATTGCCACTGCCCTGGGCTCCAGGGCTCTGTCCCCTTGTGCAGAGCTGCACATGGACATACTGACCCCTTAGACGCCCCTGGGGTCCACACTGCACAGAGCATTTAGGTGCAGCGGGAGTTGGTGCATACAGGTGCTTTGCATGCAGAGCATCAGGTTTACATCTGCCTCAGGTTCAGCCATCAGTTCTGGTTTCTCCTTGCTCCAGTGACCAGGACTCAAGCTCAGCCTCTTGCTCCATCGACAGCCTTTTCAAATGTTACATCCTCTTCCAAAGCTCCAAGATCTGCTTTGTCTCATGATGCATCAGCAGCTATACTGCTACAGGGGCTGCTCTGTGTGTGAATGTAGACAACACTAACATGTTTCTGTATTCTGGTTCCTCATGTGCCCTTATGATCATTTTGTATCAAATACATGTGAAGATTCCCTGTAGTTTTATACAGGACTCAGTGTAACTGTATGTGCTGTGCACATGGCTTAAGTCTAACTTAACAAAGGTTCATAATAAAATCCTGATCTCCCATGTTCACTGGTGTCTGTTTGCATCCTTCACTGTGATCATATATTATATGTGATTATATCTGACTATGTAACAGAAGTCATATATAAAACAGTATGTGATGAAGCTCAGGCTGTGGGTCATGCAAAACTCTTCCTCAGTGACACACAACACAGACCTGAATGTCCAGCTTTCACTGTGTTTGCTTAGCCTTGATGTCACTCAAACAGATGTGAGGCTCACTATTGTTTTTAGACACATTCTACAAACAGTGTGGCCTCCCTCATGTGTCTTCATAAACCCAGTGTCAGCTCTGTGACTGTTCTCCTCGAGCGGCCTTGTGCGGGACACAGGTGCTCAGTTCCTTTACATACCCACTGTCTTCTTCATACCCACTGTTCTCTTCATACATAGTTGATACATAGTGTCTTCGTCATCTGCCTCCTTCCTCCTCCAGCCTGTTCCTCCTGTGTCTCCTGTGTCTCCTGTTCCTCCTGTGTCTCCTGTGCCTCCTGTTCCTCCTGTGTCTCCTGTGCCTCCTGTTCCTCCTGTGTCTCCTGTTCCTCCTGTGTCTCCTGTGCCTCCTGTTCCTCCTGTGTCTCCTGTTCCTCCTGTCCCTCCTGTGTCTCCTGTTCCTTCTGTTCCTCCTGTGCCTCCTGTTCCTCCTGTGTCTCCTGTGTCTCTTGTGTCTCCTGTGTCTCTTGTGTTTCCTGTGTGTCTCCTGTTCCTCCTGTGTCTCCTGTGTCTCCTGTGTCTCCTGTGTCTGTCTCCTGTGTCTCTTGTGTCTCCTGTTCTTCCTGTGTCTCCTGTGCCTCCTGTTCCTCCTGTTCCTCCTGTGTCTCCTGTGTCTCTTGTGTTTCCTGTGTGTCTCCTGTTCCTCCTGTGTCTCCTGTGTCTCTTGTGTCTCCTGTTCTTCCTGTGTCTCCTGTGCCTCCTGTTCCTCCTGTGTCTCCTGTTCCTTCTGTTCCTCCTGTGCCTCCTGTTCCTCCTGTTCCTCCTGTGTCTCCTGTGTCTCTCTGTGTCTCTTGTGTCTCCTGTGTCTCTTGTGTTTCCTGTGTGTCTCCTGTTCCTCCTGTGTCTCCTGTGTCTCCTGTGTCTCTTGTGTCTCCTGTGTCTCTTGTGTCTCCTGTTCCTCCTGTGTCTCCTGTTCCTGTGTCTCCTGTGTCTCCTGTGTCTCCTGTGTCTCTTGTGTCTCCTGTGTCTCTGTGTCTCTGTGTCTCCTGTGTCTCCTGTGTCTCTTGTGTCTCCTGTGTCTCTTTTGTCTCCTATTCTTCCTGTGTCTCCTGTGCCTCCTGTTCCTCCTGTTCCTCCTGTGTCTCCTGTGTCTCCTGTGTCTACTGTGTCTCTTGTGTCTCCTGTGTCTCTTGTGTTTCCTGTGTGTCTCCTGTTCCTCCTGTTTCTCCTGTGTCTCCTGTGTCTCCTGTGTCTCTTGTGTCTCTTGTGTCTCCTGTGTGTCTCCTGTGCCTGCTGTGTCTGGCCCTGCTGTGTAATTTTTTTTTAAAGTCCACAGCATGTGAAGGAGAGAGACAGTTAACAACGCAGTGAGGGCCAACAAGAGCTGTGACTTTACAGCCATTCACTGTAGTGTGGGCAGACATCAGAGAGGGGAGGTGAGGGGGAGCACACAGAGGGGGGGGGGGGGGGGGGGATTATTACACCCACTCTGTGAGAAGAGCATCTTCCTCATTTTTAGGAATAATTGCACTGTATTATATCAACGTGTCAACTATCTCAGTTATTCAAGTCAAGTATTTCTACATTAAATTGATCAAAAATTCCATATGGCACTTTTAATTCACAACGCAAAATATTAGTCCACTGTGAGACCATAAAACTCACTTTTCATGCACTTTTTAACAATTTCCATAAAATAATAATAATAATAATAATAATAATAATAATAATAATAATAA